ATAATAATAATAATAATAATAATTCTGAGAATGAGTCTCAATAACAATAATACAAATAATAGTAATAATAATAATAATAATATTAATACACATTAAAAATGTATGTACAATTCACCGACCCAGTTTTAAGTATCCATAAGATTTCTCTACAAGTACTACAGACAAAGTGGAATAAGTTGTTTTAAATAATTACTTTTTACAAAATTACATTACAAAGTGGCAGATTGAAAAATCTGAGCGAATTATCTATTTATTTTACTATCTATCTATCAATCTATTTGTCTATCTATCCACATGTACAGCTGCTAGATTTAGGTAAACGCGATGGCTTTATTACAGCTAGACTACTGGAAAGTATACATGTTTTTATATTATGCATAGTTATTGCCATTGCAGAAAAAAATTTTTGATAAATTTTGGAGAAGTATATAAAATTGCATAATCCAGATAGTCGTTTTAATTTATGTATAAATGAAATTAAGACTGTAGGATTTGTACAAATAATTTAGCAACAATTTGCAGGATTTCAAATATGCATTACCAAAGATAATGTCGCATTCTTAATATCAAACATAGTTTTTATATTATTCACATAACCACAAAAAAATCACCAAAAAAATGTATAGTTTTTTAAAATTTTTTAAACAAACAATTAGCATGATGTTCACCATTAACTTCACTTGTTTAACATACTTTATTAAAGGAGGGTCACGAGCCTAAAATGCTGCGGACTGCTTGGTCAAGCACTGTGTCCTTTGATTCACTAGACTGTGATGCACTGTTACCACTACTGCCAGGTAATGTGTTTGTAGGACGTTTTTTAAGATTAAGGATGCTATCAATGGCAGATTGTACCTGTGCGGTAATGTCATCATGTTCATTACCGTTTCCACTTTCAGTTGTTACATGAAGAGAACCTGGACATTGAGTTTGAGAATGTAAGGCCAGTCCATCTAGGCTGTCTGTATCTTCTAACAAATCTCGTTCGAGATCAGTAGCACTACTCCAACGTTTCTCAAAAGCTGGAGTACTATCTGGTTCGCAATTGTCTTTTATAACTGTGTTTTGAACTCCAGAGACACTCGCACTTGGTACGGTTATACGACATTCACCATTTGCTCGTGTCCTTTCAGTTTTGGACGACCTCGTAACAGCCACAGCACATGCACTATTACTACCACTAGTATTAATATTTTTACATTTAAACGAGTCCGTGGTAGATGGATATACACCAAGTTCTTTTTGTATTTCTACCCACTCGTCATAATCACCACTAGTACAATTTGCTGATTTAATCACTGGTTTGCATTCCATTTCGTCACTTAAAAAGTCATCTTCTAACTCACGTTTTACAGATACATTAGTTAATGGTGGTGATAATTTGTCTTCTTCTGTAAGACCAGGTTCAACCTTTGGCACCAATGGCTTTTCTTCTTTTTTGAACTCTTCTGTAAGACAGATATAAAAAAAAGATTATTCTAATAAATAAGATATTAGGTGAAATCTCTCTATCAATATATTAATTGTTTACCATTAACTTTAGCCTCTTGTTCTCGTAACCTATTTAATATATTTTGTTCTTCAGCAACAAAAGTTCTATCAATCATCATCAATTCCGATGTCCTGACTTCTCGCTATAAGATGAAATTAATATTGCTGACAAGTACAATGAAATAGAAAGGATACAAAAATATAAGAACAAGATTATAACAAGAATATTTTTAACATACCATGCTTTCCATCAAAAGGAGATACGTGTACTTGTTCATCATAGAATTGAATTTTGATAATAGATGTTTTGCCGTTTCTTCAAACATCTCATCAGCTTTTGCCAAATCTTTAGAACTAAGTACTTGTTCATTTAAACAATGATAACGTACAAGACGTTTGCAAGCATCACGTTTGCTCAAAAATGGTGTGTTTACATCTGGATTTATCGCACCGTTTTGATCAATTTTCAATTGTTGCTCTAATCTATAAATATAGAAATAAAAATATATTCATGAAAATAAAATCATAACACCTAGGATTAGAAAATAAACAGTATCATATTGATAGAAAATCATACTTACAAGTCACTACGATTAACTGGTCTGCAAATTGGGCTAGATGCAGGTCTTTTTACAGCTTGCCTTGGGCTTACTAAAGGACTTGAA